CCTCAGGGCCCCGCAGCCCGGGGCTGGGTGGGAGAAGCCGAAGTGGGTCCAAGGGGCACTTGAGGCCGCAGGGGGCGTGTGGGGAGGAGGCAGGATCTGGGGGGGCAGTCGGTCGGTTGTGCTGCCCGGTGTCTCAGGGGGCCAGCGGCATGGTGCCTCAGCCCCCGGGCTCACCCCACCCCGCCCGCTCCCCGCCTGGAGACCACCGAGAAACACCGACATTTCCCTCTCAGGCTGGATGGCGTCAGGTTAGAACTGGCAGAGGAGTGGGAGAAACTCTCTGTGTGGTGGGTCTCTTTCAGGAAGATGGAATTTGCCTTCGATGCTATTTGCTATTGGGAGAGGGGGAGAGAAAGGAGAAAACAGGTGCTGCTTTTTTTTTTTTTTAATGGAAAGAAAACTTCCACCTAGTTTTACATGCGTTTCTACCCACAATCTGCTTTAACAGCCCCTCCGCTCCTGCTGACACACAGTGGTGGTGGCTGCCATCACCTGCTGTCCATTCATGCCTTATGCTTTGCTGTTCTGTTACCGGTATTAATATAAAACCTCACGCCACAGATTTCCTAGGGCCAAATTCTGCCTTCCTCGGCTTTGTGGTTGGACTAGATGATTTCAAGGCCTTTTCCAACATAGGTGATGCTGTGAACCCTCACTCCTGGGTGGTTTCTTCCAAGCTGGAGCGGTTGATCAGTCACTAAAACATAAAGATGCTCCTTGCAGCGTGGTGGAGCAGAGAAGCCCTGTGGAAGAGCAGGCCCAGAGGGGTCTGTACGGTTCCCTCACAGCCCACCGCTGTGTGTGGTCATCCCTCATCTTTGCCAGAGGCTCGTGGATGCTGCCACGGGGACGTGTCCTACGTCAGGCCATTTCTAAACAGCCTGATCTTGCTCTAAAGTCTTTACATGATGTAGTTTCCTCTGCCATACAGAACCTGATGGGTGTTTGCCTGACGTGTGAGATAAGTGACGAACGCTGGTTTTCCTCTTGTTTGTGTCTCCCCGTGCTCTAGTTTCATTGTCAGTCCAACTGGTGTCACTGCCAACAAGAGGAGCAGTGATCAGATCCAGCAGAGAGCCAGAAAAAAAAAAAGTGGGGGGGAGGGGGAATGTTAGTTTTCAGTGGGATCAATTCTTCCTTGCTCCAAATAGTTGAATAAGCAAACCAGAGGGACTTGGCCCTGGCACAGGAACAAACAGCGTGGGCAAGGAGGGAACACAGTGTCCACATCAGCTAAAACTGCTACTGGAAACTTGCATGTCAAAAGATACCCCGAGGGCTCTTGACATGAAAGTTGTTGAGACATAATCTTCCACACCTAGACATTTCTGGATTTACCCAGGAGGAGCTGGTAGTGGTGATAGCAACACACATTCACAGAGGGTTTTTTATTCCTTGAAATGCATACTCACAACACTTTTTACTTAAAGAATGGAAGAAAGAAAAAACACCCCAAACCACCACCCCACCCAAACATGTCAGTTTTTAAAATATGGCCATTCTATTCCTGGATTGTTTTTTTAGTGCTGCACCATTAAATGCAGAAGTCTTTTCCACTTCCCTTTCCCCTCTCCCCTTCCTGCAGCAATATACAGATGGACCTTAGAGAGAGAGAGGAGGGAAAGGTGCCCTGTTGATCCTTGTGAAGATGTTGCTTTTGTTCTTTCTTTGTTACTAGATTATAAGATGAAAACAGATGTTTCTTCTCTTTACAACGCACCGTATGGCCTGTCTAAACATAAGGAGAACAGCACTTCTGCAGACAGTGCTAAGTCTCATCAAGGCTGGAGTCAGCTTTATCATGAGGCAGTTGCATTGTGGTACATACTTTGATAAAACCTGCATCCAAAGTCCCACAGCATCACGGTTCAGAATTTAGTTGGCTTCTGTTTCCCTTACAAAAGTGTAGTTTCCAATATTCTCTAAAATTATTAAATGACTGAATGAATAAGGGAGTGGGGGACATACGTGTTCATCTGCCTGCCTGTCTTTCCTGCACACAAAACAAACGTATGTCCATTTGTTTCAGAAAAATGGTTTGCTAGAGATCTACCATCCAGGGGTTCACATGTAGGGAAAACCTTTTGCAGAAGATTGAGTGCTTTATCTTGTGAGTGAAAATATTAAGAGTGAAAGCAGGCAATAGATTTTGCTTTTTAATCCAGGTAATGTTTGTTGTTGAGATTTTGTTACAGTCATTATTTGTAGGTTGGGATCCTCCTTTTTCAAGTTTCTAATGTTGTGGCTGCCTGACATAGGAAAGAGCTTTCCTTGGGTAGAAGACAGGAGTGTTGGAGTGGGCCCTGGTTTTGTGAGTAGGAATGTTGAGGACACAGGGATACTGGCAGATGGGAAACCCTGAGTATCGCTTGGCCAGAGTCACCGGCGCACGGGGAGGAAAAATCCAAGTCCAAATTAATACGCTCGTTTAAACAGTTAAAGCCTTGAAAGCATTCACACTAACAGTCAATCATGTTTCTCATTTAGCAGTTGTGTTTCTCCACAGGACGTTCCTGAAAGTTTGCAGGGAAATAACTTTGGCTTTTTATTTAAAGCTTTTTTTTTTTTTTTTTCCCCTAACAAAAATAACCTTTATGCTTTTCTCTTGCTTCAGCGTAAGCCTGGAAAATCTTGACTCCTGAGCACCAGATGGGTTAATGCAATAACATTTCTCACCAAAACAGCTGATAGTGGCCAGGTGCTATCTGACTAGTGCTCGATGCCAGTGACCCTCTCCCCTCATCTGGGCGTTTTTGGATGGCAGTCATACAGCCCCAGAGGCCGCACCAGAGTGGCTAATTCACTGCCCGAGGCATCTGCTCCTTGGCAAGCTCCGTGGGCATCTGCATAGGTGGCTCTGCAGAGCTTTTCTTTCTGTCACAGGGCCAGGTACCTGGGGGCACAGCGGGAGACCTGCTTTGCTGTTTTTTTCTTTTCTTTGGGGTTTCTGGAGCTTCCTGAATAAACCGAGAGGCGTTTTCTTTATAAGGAATTGGCTGTACATCCCATATGTCCTTCTATTGTTCATGCTGGGATAATCTGCACTGAAACAGGATCTTTGTTTCCGGCACCCCTGTCTCTCTCCCTGTACGCAGGCTGAAGTCATAACCCTCTCCGGGCGCCCTTAACGTTGGTTACTCTAGAAGCAATTGTGTTTTTGTAGACAGCTGTTTATAATTTCAGGTCTATGAGGGAATGAGTGACAAATTTAAAGAAACAAAGCTACTTGGGAGACTTTACCCTATTTGCTGGAAAGAAGTAAGGAAAGTTTTGGGAAAATAAAACAGCTGGAAGGCAAGGAGGCATCACAAGAAGTGGGTCGTTGCAAAATGAACCTTATAAGGGAATAGCTGCTTGGTGTCACCAAATTTAGAGGACTAGATGTAGAAAGGCGTAGTAGATAATTGCGTTTTGCACCAGCTTGAGGCAGGAAGCAGGATGAAACAGTTCTGCAGCTCTTGTAATAAGCTATGATGTGGATAAACCATGTGCTATTTGGGTTTTTTTCAGGAACAGAAAAAAGAAGTCTCCCCCTCTTGCCATTCACCAGCAGGATGGCAGCATTCACCTTTCCTCCCCCACCTTCCTCAGGCCCATCTTCTGTCTTCCCAGTCTCAGCTCCCCTTGTTTTCACCACAGTTTACACACAGTCCCTCCCAATCCTTTCGGTGAGGTGATGGGTGGACGTTGGGGTTGTGTGCTTAATGGTTTTTATCTGTCGCTCTTTGCTTCCTAGTGAGTGTTCCTGTGGGCTTCCCAGTGTTGCTCCCTGGTGTGGGACCTTCACAGGCTGCAGTTCCTCAGGGGCGTCCCTGCCCCAGTATGTGTTGCCTTCTTGAAGAGTGCGTCTCCAGCCGTGCCCCTCAACACTGTCTCCCTCCACATTCTCCTAATGCTTCTCTTCACGTAAGTCCTCACATGTCTTCCCTGTATTTTTCGTGCATCTCTTCACCTGTCTCCAAACACACCTCCTCACTTCGCTCCTCTCCTCAGGGCTGCCATTCATGATTAAATATGTCAGAATGGAGGCACCACATGCTCCTTTGGTTGGAGTTTTGGCTCACTGTGGGCCATGGGGGGCAGCCGTGACTGGCCCAAGGCAGTTCATGGCCTCCTCCCACACAGGTCACCCCCACAGCCCCTGCCATTTAAACCCTGCCCGTTTTGCCCAATTTACCTCCTTTTTCTCTCTGCCCAACAACCTGCCCATCTCCTGCAGTGCAGTGCTGGCTTCTGTCTCTAGGTTATCCCAGGATTTACTTGCAAGCAACATTACTCTTAAAGCATAGGTGATTATCTTGTATGAGTTACATACTGGAAAAAACGTAGGTTTTTTTCCCACATCAAACCCGTGTTCCTGGAATCACTTGATTAAACTTTCACTATATTTTTAATACAAACTCATAACCCTTGTGCTTAAAGAGAAAATCTTGAAAATGTAAACTGTAGAAGGCAAATAAAAAAAGAAATACGGGAATTATTTTCGTCTCTTGGCTTTTGGAGCCAATTCATAATGTGTAAGCCCTAAGGGTTTGCAATACCATGGAAGGAGCTGCTTCTCTGTTGTGTCCATATCTGCAAAACTATAATAACCTCTGTAATTCTTTTGTGTTACATCCCTACCAAATATGTTAGTTTACATTTCAGCACATTTTTGTCTGCTTAGGTCACAGCCTACAGTGCTCTACAAATTGCTAGTTGAATAGATACATGCACAGTGGTAAGAATGGACTTGCTGCAAAGCATGGTCTGTGGCAATGAAGAAAAATCTGGATTTAAAAGAAAAACTGCCACTGATGTTGCCCTTTATAGAGAGTATCATGGGAAATGAAAATGCTCAGAATCTCTGAAAGTATAAGCTCTTAATTCTGAGTCTCTTCTGCAAGACATTTTTCTTAAGAAATACCTAGCTCTGCATTTTCCCCCATAATGCTATCTTCACCTTCCTTCAGCAAGTTCAAAAATTTCTTAATGTGCTTGTCAAGCCTAACTCAGCTGTACCTCATTCAGGGAGATATCACTCCCAGAGTTTAATATCTTCAAGACAGCCAAACCTTTCCTATTTTAATGCTAAAAGCTATTTACATCAGAAACTGTTAACCGAGAAACTAATTTCCATTCCAGGGATGACCACGGCTACACTTTAGACTTCCTGCAGAGATGGGTCTTTCAAATCCATGTTTTGCCCTCAAGATTTTGTCACATGTTGAAGCATTGACCCTCCAAACAGTATAGACCTACAGTTTACATGCTGTAGCAGCGTATGTAACTGTAGCAGTGTGTAAGGGAGGAGGAATGCACCAGGCTGCTTACTCCTGCTCCTTTTTCTGGATAGAAAAGCACCATCGCTCATCTTGGGGCCTTGCAGGAGAACATCAACACAAGGGTAAGTCTTCATGAATAAACATCATGTCAGATTTTCCCTGCTCTTCCTCAGTGGGTTGTTATGACTATACCTGTGGAAGCTCTGGACGAGGAGGTTTTGCTTTCCTTTATTCACTACTCAAAACCAACTTGAGGGCATAGGTAGTTGTGATAGCCACAGAGGTGTGGCAGCCTCACCTTGTGTTTATCTTAGGCTCCTCCATACACCTTCAAATGGCAACACAACCCCTTCCTGCAGGTGTGAGGGGGGATTTGGAAAGATAGATGTGAAGGCATGGAGAAGGGTGGCTGGATCAGAACTCGGGTAAGCTGCTGCAAGACCACTCTTGATCCAGTTCCAGCAAATTCACCCAGTGAGATACATCTGTGTAGTTCTTTTGGATGTGTGGAGAGGGAGGTCAGGCTTGAAGTTTAAGCCTGGAACTGTGTGCAAGTAAGCAAGGTGTGCTTCTGAAGGGTGAAGAAACCACCTTGAAAGGTTATGTATGAAAATGTAGGTGTCCAGGGCTAAACTAGCCACTCCAGGCCAAAGCTAAATGCATTTTAAGGTGTTCTTAAAATTGAGACATTTGATTTGATGTGGTTTAATGAATTTGTGTGTGTCCTCAGTCTGCCATGAACTGTAAAACCAGTACAATTCTGAGGTATAAACAAGACCTAAAACAAGAAAACAAAAATCTCAGTAGATTCTTAGTCTTTAGTTAGTCAGGAATTATTTCCTCTGTGCAGTAGGTGTGGTCTGTTACAGAACTACAGAGCAGCGGAAAAAGCTTTTCAAATATGAAGGCTGAAGGGGGGGCCGTACTGTCCTGAGTATTACATGCCCTGACAAACAGATCATTAGTTCTAGCTTCTGGAGTCAATTAAATATGGAAAATAATCTGGGCGCTCATGTAAAAACAGAAAAAAAGTATGCAAGGGCATGCTTTGGAAACTTTGGGAAGTTGAAGTCAGACTTGCAACTTCTGAAGCCCTGATTCATGGTTCCTGAATGTGTGGGATTGCTGATGTGGTCAAAGATTTGTCCCTTAAAGCATGAAAGGCAAGTCACTTCCCGGGGGACTCTGATGAGGCATGGCTTGCTTGTGCAGCGTGTTGGAAGCCCATAAGCTCTACATTCCCAACGTATGCATGTGTGTGGGGAGAGGTCTCCCCATTTTGTTAATTCTTTTTTAACACCTCGATAGCTATCAAAGCACTGGTTTCTACCTCACTCCTTCCTCACTGCCCATCTTCCATGTAGACCTTGCTAGCAACACACTGTTATTTTCTCCCCGGTTTTGGGACTTGGCTGCAGATGTCACCTGGCTCTTCCACGTTCTTGCTGATGTCCAGGCTGTTCCCAAGGAGCAGTCATCAGAGGAGGACTTTACTAAATGACTAATCCAAGATCAAACAGCGGGGCAGTAGCAGAGGCAGGAACTGAAATCAGGTCTTCTGACTCAAGTTTCTCTTGGCTGCAGTCCCCAGGTTACACGGCAGAACTCATTTGTGCTGGAAGTTTCAGCAGTCGCTGAGACAAAACTTCATTTTCTTTCCCCGAGATACCATATCTGTGTCATCCTGTTCTCTGCCTACTAGGAAGCAGCTTCTTAGCATTTGACTTTAAAAAGGGAAGGCGAGCAGGAGCTGTTTCTAAGTGGTTACACTCTTTTGATCGATGAGAGAGGTGAGCCAGAGTGTGTTCCAGTGACCTCCTGCTATATAAAAGCTTGGCCTGCCTGACAGGACTTCTGGCTGCTGAGTAGCTGTGAGTCACAGCCTTTACCGCTTGGATTCGATGCGGATTTTTACATCAGACGCTGCGGAAACGAGGTGGCCTCTCAAATATTTGCATTGCTTGGCAAGCTAGGGTAAACGGGGGTGGATTCAGGAAGTTCTGGCAAGGGCAAGCACAGCTGGTGTTAAGGTCTTTGCAGGGCTCCTTTGTGTGTGTGTGCATGTGTGTGTGTGTTTGTAGGAAAATAGTGAGGCCCCTTGATTTTTTTCCAGCCAAGGTTCCTGGGAAAGGATGAGTAATCTGGAGATTTCCTGTGACTTTTGGAGTGAAGAAAAAAAAAGAACACGTCGCCTTTTGGGGAAATCTTCTTGGATCTTCCACCATCCCACTTTTCCCTGAGCAGCACAGAAAGCCTCTCAGCTGGTCTCAGTGCAGCTTTGTTTATTGCTTGCTCGGTGGCCGGTGGGTACTGCTCAAGAACAACATGAGCTGTGCTCTGCAAATCACTATTTTCTGCCCTCGTTTGCCTGGAAAGCCCAGGATCTGAGCTGTACCCTTCCCACGGCCTCCTTGTGCGTGTCCTTCAGGAGCAAAACTCTGCGGTGGGCGCGGGTACTGGTGCTCGAGGTGTGCCTGGCTCGGGATGCTGGGAGCCTTTCCCTTTCATGTCTGAGAGCATCAGCTCTGCGAGGGAGGGACTGTGTGGCCGTGAAGTATTTTTTTGCCCAGCACCTAGCATGGCTGGCTTCGGGCTCATGACTGAGTCAGCTGGGTGCTGCTGAGCTCCAAATGAGTCAGTAGTAATGACAGAAGAGATGGGGGGATTTCCTGTTGGCTGAGGAAGAAAGGAGTGAGGTACCTCAACTCTGAGCTTATTACTATTTATTATTTGACTTGCAATGCTGCCTGCAGGCTGCCCTCAGGGACGAGGGCTCTGTCCGCGAGGCACGTGCAGGCAGCGAAGGCAGAACCGTTCCCCACCCTGAAAAAGGGCGTTCTCCATCTGAGCTCAAGCTCAAACTGAGTTGTTTGGGCTCTTTGAGAGCGGGGACACTGCGATGATACAGGGGCCGGAGGGTAAAGCGAAGGGTGTTGCTGCAACCCTGTGCACAGGGAGTTTGGACATCAGGTGTATGTCCAAATGACCTGCTTCTATTATTTCTAGATGCTCGTCACCACTATTTGGCCACAACTTTCTCTAACTAGTATTTCTCGATGTGTGCTTAGCCATTTTACGTTCTGAGTGCTTTACAAATATTATGTAATTAGGAAAATAACTCTCTATTTGCACAGGCAATTGCACAACCACATGTTCAAAATTCAGCCTTTGGAAATGTAGCCTCAACTGAAATTTCCTTATCTGCTCCTAACTCTCCCAGCTGCTCTTCCCAAAATAATTTTTAATCCCTTCAACCCCATAACTGACTGTTGATGATGGTAATAAAATGGATACAGCCTGGGCAGATAAACTGCTTGCCTCTGCAGTGTAAAATAAATGGAAAGTAAGGGCTGGTAGGAAGTACATGTTTTGAATTCCAGCATCAGTCCATTTGCTAAATATGCTGGCCTTTAGTAGAAGAAAATCAGCGCAAAACAAACAGCCACATCCCCCAGCACCTCATCTCCAGTTGCTGACGACAGAACTGAGGGCTCAGAAACAACCCACGTAGTTGCTTCACTTTCTCACAAGTCTCAGTGTTGTACCAGGCTGGGGCCAGAGAAGGATTTAACCTGGACAAAATGTGAGCCATTGGCACAAAGCTTGAGACTTATCTCCCTACCCAAATCCAGGGTATTTTTATTTGGTGGGTTTTTTTGGTTTTGTTTGTGTTGTTTTTTGGTTTTTTTTGGTTTTGTTGGGGTTTTTTTCCCCCCTCTCTCTGTCTCTCAAAGGTTAAACGGTTCCCACAGGGTGCAAGAAAGGGTTATTGAAAGCAGCAGGTCCACTTTTGAATATTGCACTTCTGGTAAATCTCTGATCCAGCATCTAGTGGTTAACCACTGATACAGGAAATGACATTTAACGTTTTATCACTCAGCCAGAAATGGAAGAACAAGGCAAGTCTGTATGTGGTGAAGATGGATCATTGCCTGCTACCTTCCCCTTAAAGGCATATCATGCCATTTAAAAGGAAATGTTTTCCAAGCCAGAGCTTTTTTCTTTCTTTGTGTACCTTTCTGCTTAAGGCAGACTAAAAACCTGGAAAACAAATCCTCTTCTTCCCCCCTCCCCGAGGTTTTTGCCTGTTAAAATAGGGGTGATGGCCTTATAAACAACTTAAATCCTCTTTCCTGCTCTTTTGTGTCTTTTGGAAGTGTATCCCAGGCCCTGGAGGAAGCTGGGGGGGATGCGGGGCGGAGGGAGGAACCGGGAATGGAAAACTCAGGTTTCAGTAGGTGGCACTCTGGCTCAGGGCTCAGCCCGTCCCTGGCATCATGGGCTGCGTTTGGTCGAGGCAATCGGGAGCAAATGTGCTAAAACGGCACAGGAAGAAAAGAAAAAAGTTTTTTTAAAAAAAAAAATCAGAATACAGGGCCGGAACTTCAGCAAGTATAAATTGTTGTGGTTTATTGATTTCAGTGTAGCTGCATTGGTTTGCAGCGACGAGCACCTGCCTATTGTCAGCACAGGCGAACCGCAGCGGCCGTGCTCGCTGTCTGAGCGGCTCAAACTTTGTCTGATTACAGAGTGCATATTCAGGAAGCAAGCAAGCAAGCTCCAAAATTAAATCCTGTGTCACAGTCCAACTAAATCTCAAGTCTGCCAAATCTGCCTATATAAATTCTAACAGTTTCAGATGTTTTCATCATACATACCGGGGTGAAAAAAAAAAAAGAAAAAAAAAAAAGCCAGCAAGCAGCAGTGAGGCACTTTCCTCCTGCAAATAGGATATGTGGGCAAATACTTTGTGTTTTTTAGCTGTTCCGGAGGCCATTTTCACCTAATGACATAGTGTGAGACATTTTCCAAAGAAAGAGCTTCACAGATTGCCAAAACTTTCCTGGAAGTGAGCACGTTAGAAAGCGAAGTCTTAAAGGTGGGCCAGCCCTCCTCATCTGTGGGGCTTTGTAACATGACTTTTATGAGCCCAAGAGCCACAAGAAGCGAATGCTTGAGAGAGCCAGTGGCCAAGCAGCAGAGACCTCCATGAGGAGTTCAAAGGCTACCGATGAGGGCAGCTCTCCAGAAGTCCTGCTGCTCTCTGGCTTGGCTGAAAGTGAAGCTGGATGATGGGGTGAGCACTTGGATGCTGGAAAGCTGCCTTGCTCCATCCCACGGCAAGGATCTTAGAGCCCACTAGCCAAAACCGACTAGCACAGCCGTCCTGTAGTTTAAGCACTGTCTGGCTCAAACTGCTTGAGAGCCATCCTTGGAACATCACACTGGTAGATCAGACAGAGGAAATAAAAATGTCTGTAACCTAGAGACAAGCTCGGATTTGTGTTCAGGTGGAGGTTCACTGTGAACTGGAAATGGAGAGTAAGGATCTGTGGTAAAACGGTCAGTGGACATCAAAAATGGGTAAAAGAGAAAAGTGTAGTTCCAGCTCTCAGCACGCTCGCTGTTCAGTTAGAGTGTTGGTT